ACCCATTAACATGTACTAACCGACAAAGAACCAGGCCCCCCCCCCCCCACCGTCACTTTCACTAACCAAGAGAAACTCCTTCCTAGACCGCTAACAGGATGTACCTACTAAAACCTTACAGGGTACTCTGGTACCTACACTAGGCTCTGATTAATGGATCTCTACGTGCAATCAAGACTTTGTCTGAAACCATACCTCAGGATATTGTGTACACACGAGTGGTGAGAGATTTGATGTAGGACCTGCTCAGGGAAGTAAGTTCCACGCTGGACAGCTTGGTTGAAAGTCGTATTTCCCCGTACTTGGTACCACTGGACCTGCTCAAAGTTAGCTTGACAGCTGCTACCCCTCTACGGTGCACCTTTCACAAATCCACCTAGCGTACAGCCTAGGTAGTGCAATTCCCATTCACGTTGAAAAAAAAATTAGAACTCGGTTTCCTGTTAAACGTTCCCATAATTGTGACACCTCACATCTATAGGTTTAGGTCGATGCTGAACATTGGTATTTGAAAGGACGGTAGGCATTTCCACTTTGAACTAGAAACCTGACACTCCATCACCTCAACCTCGAACAGCATGACTCAGAGATTGAGATCATGGACGCTTTCCAGGGTTATAACTTTACCATCGATTTAGAAATTGACCAACAATTACTGATTGAAGGAACCAAATTTGTTAAGTTCACACAAACCCCGCGTGAACTTACTTTGACGCCCAAGACGCTACATTGACACAGATTATACGACTTTAATCTGCACATTGGTCGCCCTGGGGATGGAATGGCTCATCACGGCCGTGATAGCTTATTCCGCCTACAGGCGTGTTAATAAACTCCAAGATAAGATGCACTTGCTCACCTACGGTGTGCCTCGTAACCGCGTTCGGGGAGACTCCAAGCGTGAATGTACCACACCTGTCTAAAGGGGGTGAGCAACATTTTCTTTATTATTTTGTAACCCTAAGAGTAGTTCTCATTTTAGTCTACCTCACATATTTATCTGAGTGTTGCAGTATGTCACATTCTTTATAAGCTACACACTGACTGTATGACCTAAGAATGTATTTTATGAGACCTCAAGGTTGCTATGAATTTTCTTGGATGTTATATGTTTTTTTTTTTTTTTTTGGGTTCTCTGTATTTTTGTTTCTTACTTGGTCACATATTAACTAGTGGTTATGTGCCGGCCCAGCTCAGTCTGTCAATGACTCTGTCTGACGCACCAGCACATTGTAGTACCTCTTAGTTTTATGGTCCTTGTTTTAGCCCAAAGACTGTCCTGATCCACCCTTTGGACCAAAAAGGGGGGAATCTTGGGACCACATAGGTCAATGCGCGTTTGCGAACTATGGACCTCGTACATCACCGCGTGCTCCATAAACTGAACTGTATGGCCGGCGGTGAGATGCCTTTGTGTCCACTCGTGGAGTTAACCGCCCACCGACCTTCCTCCTTCTACACTACTACCTCTCGCATGGACGACATCATCATTGCGTACCACCTGCGTGAGTGGCTTCTTCTCGTTATGCGCGTTGGGGACTATCCCGTTTCCTATCCTCTTTGTGCCTGACAAAGACAAAGACCAAAGGCGCCAGGATCCAAGACAAAGACCAAAGACAAAGGCGTCCAAGGAGACCAACGTCCTAAGGGACAAACCCACCTGTGCTTCCGACAATCAAGTCGACCTACGTTCATGAGGAACAAACCCATCTGTGCTTCCGACGATCGAGCTTTGGGCGCGATCCCCGAAACCAAAAGGGGGAATGTTGAGGGTCTGACCTCATGAGGAAATTACTATGCAGTGATTTTCTCCAAAATGACTGTGCTTAAATTGCTCTGAAAAGCAAATAATCACATCAGCGCCAAGAAACTTCATTTCCCATGATGCTTTGCACACGGAAGCATTGGGTGATGTCACCGCCTAGTACCAGAAACACGTTCTGCGCATGTGCGGGAAGCCGTGGAGCTTCTCCCGCGAACTAAGACCATAAATCTTCAGCAGAGACAAAGAAACCTCGTTCTTTTGCCCAGGATACCTGGCGGTGAGGACACGCTTGTCGAACGCTCCGACTTCTTTGAGCACGCGGAAGCTCTAAGAGCCAAGTTGAGCCCACGGGACCGCTGATCTGCTCGTTTCTGCTCCCCTCCAGCTGATGTTTGAGGACACAGAACTAGCGGAGGGAAACAACAACTCCATCCAGCTCTCAGAAACGCTGTAAGTTGTCAAACTCAGCCCAAAAGGAACTTCGTTTTCTTTGTGTCCAGCCGTGGAGAAACACTCGTGGAGCCAAACAACGGAGAAAGCATCAAACCGGCGGATGACGCTGAAAACTGCGGAGAAACACGGAGAACCGTCAAATCAAAAGGGGGAGGGACGCCTCGCTCTTTTGGTGATCAGAAAACTCATTTTTCTCTCATTCTTTTCTTCTCCCGTTTCCTCTATAGTCCAGAATAAGCAATAAAACCGCGCTATTGCTTAAAAAAAGTAGCTTCGTGTTTTCCTCTTTCGTTCCAAATTCGTCCTTCGGGTCATTTTGAAAGAATAAACTGCTTATTAATCATTGTTTGGTATCTTTAAATGTTCGGCCATGGCCAGGCTGATAAACTAAGGATATTAACTCGTGATTAATCTTTTGTGTTGTTGCATGATCCTTTGAAATGTTTTGAGTGATTTAAGGTTAAGTTACTACTGATTCTAAGTGCTTTGGAAGTTAAAGTGCAAGTTGCCACCCACACTTTAGCCAGACAAAGGAGTCAGCCATCTTGTATTCAAGACTCCATTTTGAATCCATACACACGCACACACACTACTCCTTTGTGAGAACAAAGGACCCCATTCATACATCCTACATACACACAAAACACCTTGAACATTATTTTGAATATACATCCTTTTATTATATCACATGGTTATTATTCATCTATTCCACTGTTTATTCATTTGACAAATTGTTAATTAAATGTTATAAAATTCAGATTTTTGTGTCCAGTAGCTTTGTTGTGTCGAAGAGAAGTCTCTGCTCCAAGGATTCTACGAACTTCAAGAAAGACTGATAAGAGTTTTGGATTCAATTTTTCCCCGGAAAAAGGGGAATGGTGCCCCGTATATCTAAGAATATCTTAATTAATTAATAAATCAGTAAATATTCCCATATTTACAGAATTTATTGAAGAATCCAAAAGTAAGTTGAAGCTTACTAATTGTTCGCTCCTAATAACCCCAACAAATAAATAAATAAATAAATAAATAAACATCTAGTGTGGGCCCTTAGGCAAGACCCTTGGTGCTATTCGCCTACCTTACGCCATGATAAGAGCAGCCGAAATGAATGAGATGTCGGCTCAGATGCCCCTCGGCCAAACAAGGTCAGGTGCTGGCGAGCCAGAGCACCCTGATGAAAAACGGACTACTAGAACAAGATGGAAATAGGAATGTTGGAATTCTACTACCCCAGTAACCCTAGTCAGAGGGGTTACATGCAGAGAGTGCAGGAAGACTGGTTACTTCGAAACTCGCACTCAAATATAACAGCCAAACCACTAGTGACTCAGTGTTCCAACATCCAAAAATGGCAACTGCTATCACAACTTGAGATTGATGAGAAACAACTCAAATGCTACGGGAAGGGGGAGCCAGGACAAAGGGGAGTTAATATCAACTCCCCATCCAGAGATTGGGTATGAAGTCACAATAAGTGACACAATGCTGAACGACGCAGCAACTGACCTGAGAGATAGGATAATAAACACCAGGCAATCTCAACGCCAACTACACGGCTGAGTGAAGTACCATCAAAAATCCTTGAAGATGTTTCAGGGCTCTGTCACTTAAAGAAACAAGTTGTTGTTGGCCATGCCCACCCATCCCCTGACTGGCTGCTATGAGGTGATGAGCTTAGATTTCTGGAAGGGACTCAGGGTAGAGCCACTGCTCCTCCAGTGTTGACAAGTGGGGACTTCTATGCTAATTTTCCCTATTGTGATGTCACAATACGAGACTTTATCAAACAGCTGGTTGAAGCATGTGATTTCTGATGGCTAAATAATTTGGAGTGTTTGTAGAGGCAGTAGAAACCTACATGGCAGCATAAAAGAGTGCTAAAACAGAAATTTGCTAAATATATCCTTTTTAAAGACATACGTACCACCCACCCTCTTTGTAGGTGGGCAGGATCATTCCATGTTGAATAGCATTGGTAGATTTTTGGGAAACAAATATACAAGATAAAACGTAACGAAACTCAAAGTGATGCTCTGGATCCATTACCAGTGACACCCTAGAGAATAGCAGTCCAATCTTTACACTCTGACCTGAAGACCCCTCATCAGCTGGCATTTGTGAAGCCACTTCCCAAGCAGAGCAGAAATCTCAGCACTGCACTCGTCTTCAGTAAGCACCAGTCAGGCTCTGAGGAGGAAAGCCTGCATGAAATCAATAATGACGTGGATATAGCTGAGCCAAAGGCCATCCACAGCCTTAACCTCAACCGTGACACTGTCAGGAGGAGATAATAAATGAACATTCACTATATGCATGAGGAGGAAGCTTCAGGTGGATGGACCCGTCTGTCAGCACGGCTTTCCTGCTTTAGAGGAGCTTAAAAATGGATGTGAACAGACACCAGTGTTGTCACTGAAAAGACTCATTTTAAACAGATAATGGGACCAGATGAGGCACAAGAGGAAAAATTTCACATGAAAGATGATTCTGTTTAGCAGAGTGGAGAGCCAGGTTTCCACTCAGCCATCTAGAAGGCTCAAAGGACACTTTTTAATGTTCGATGCAAACAGAGCGTGGATTATTTGAAAACTGTGACCACAAAATACACATTTAGATATGAACATCACAAAACTGTGAACAGGGACCCTGATCCTCTTGTGTATGCTGCTCCTGAGTGAAGCTGCACCAAAAGCCCTGACTAACAAAGCACTCAAGCCTTTTGTTTTTCCAGGTAACCCAGAAAAAGTGCCCGTGTGTGTTTGTAAGAGACGCTGCTCACCGTAGCCGTGCGATCTCTTCATGTGGTTTTTCATGTTGCTCTTCTGGGTGAAGCTGATGCTGCACACTTCACACTTGAAGGGCTTCTTTCCTGTATGTTTCACCATGTGGACCTGCAGGGCGCTCTTCTGGTTGAAGGCTTTGTCGCACTGGCTGCACTTAAACGGCCGCTCGCCTGCAGAACAACAAAAACATCAGTCTGATTAGTATTCAGTGCGGATAAATTAGCATTTTTATATATTATAAGGAAGGTTGCAAACTATGATATACTGACTTGGATTCTGGTATAATTAATGCAACTAATTGACATCCAGCTTAAAACTAGATAGACAAATACACGCTCTAGCTCGATGATTTTGACAGAAATCTTGAGAGGCGCTCTGACTTTAAAAGACAACCTTTTCCACCAAAGTCAGTGAAAAACATTTTTGGAACACTGCAGAGCTTGGCACCTCTAACCCCCTGACCAACCAGAGCTTTTCTGATAACGAGAACCTCCTGCACAAATCCATGAAACCTGAACACACACACACACACACACACACACACACACACACACACACACACACACACACACACACACACACACACACACACTCACACTCACACACTCACACACACACACACACACACACACACACACACACACACACACACACACACACACACACACACACACACACACACACACACACACACACACACATTTTAAAGGCAAAGGAGGTCCAACCCTATAGCAATAATGTGTAAAGTAAGTGCACAACTAACCAATTGGCTAATGTCAGGATAAACACTAAAAACACACAAGCTATTTTAGAAGAAGCAGAACAGTTAACAGAAGGGGCACAAAGCTACAATGTACATTTGATCTCCTTTCAAAACAGCTAACTGAAAACCAATAACTGAGTATTCTGTTACTTTAAAGTCAAATTTGGGGGTTGGACATTGGTACTGGAACTACTAAGTGCCTCTTTATAGCAACAACATCTAGTCATCTTAGGAATAAGCCAATCAACTTGGCACAGCCTAATGAGGAAATGTCCGGGATCAATTACAAAAACTAGGAAAAACTGCCAAATGTACCTGCCAAAAATCTACTTAGAAAATTTCTATTGCTGCTTTGACTCTACTGCCAACATCACCTACACCCAAGAGTAGTCTGAATTAGCAGTGAGCCATGTTTGTCCTGGTCTGGATTTGTGGTTAAAAATTAAACTAATGAAGCTGCGTTGAAAGCAGTTTCTGAACAATATTGAGAGGTATCTGTTGAAGACTCCTCCTCTCCACGTTCGGACAACTCAAGAAGAAGAGTTCTAGTATCCAGGTGTGTTGTTCTAATGTGATGGTAGAATGGAGTTTCACCTCTACACTGATGACTGTCAGATCTACTTTCCCATTTCTAAACGCTCCTTGGACTGGATACAGTCATTGGTTGGTTACTTAAAGTGACAGTGTGTATTTTTCCTGGGGACGGGGCAGTAGATACCTAAATAGTTGCAAGCAAGCTGTATTTTTGTGTTGGTGTTAGACCTTGCAACGGATGCCCATCAGGGTCAAAAAGCCCTGAGGAGTGCAAACTTCAGCAAAATAACAAGCACATGGCCATCCTTGCTAAGGTCTTACTCAAACACAAATATACTGCTTGCAGTGATTTAGGTATGTACTAGAGGCTGACCAACATAGGTTTTTTAAGTCTGATGCCGATACCGATTTTTAAATAATTTTGTTGTAGATGGTCGATTTCTAAAGCCGATTATTAAGGCTGATATATATATATATATACACGTTTTAGCAGAACATTGAATGTGAAAGACAACTGAACACTCACTGTGTGCAATATAAATCAAATAAGTCAATAAATCTCTTAATATTTATTGAACTTTGAATATAAAACAAACTCAAAACATTAACAATGTGCAAACTGTTTCAGAACAATAGAAAATAAAACAGATACAAGTTTTTTTTTAAAAAGTTTTTAAAATAAAGAAGATAAACAGTACCCAGAATAATGGTGCAAAATAGTGGCTGATCAAGGTAAAGCACACTACCACAATGTAGTAAAAAATAAAATCTTAATTATATATAAAAATAGTGCAAACATTAAACACCAAACTTAAAGGGATATTCCACTCAGCCAATATAATGGTTGGCCTACTGCCCCTTCTCACCAGGGACATTACACAGGGTCACTTCACATCACTTTAATTCTCTGGTCTCTTTGTTCAAGTTAGAAATTCATGCTACACTTTAAAGCTGCTACAGCAAATTAGGAAAACAAGTTAGCTTAAAACTTTTTTTTTCATGCTTCTTAACTCATTCACTGCCAGCCGTTTCCTGATCACTAACGGCCTTCGCTGCCAGCGTTTCTGACCGTTTTTACTGTTTTTTTAAGAGTCACAGAACGTTGCGCGCTAGGATGATATTGATGCCAAAAAAACCAAAACAAAGAGGAGACTCACCTCTTACATCAGGAAGAGTCCGCGTGTTTCGAGCGTTATCCGTTCTTTCATAATCTGTTGTCGAATTGTGATCGGCAGACGTTTTTCCGGTTCGCGCCTCACTTTTTTTTTTACAGGAACAGCCCAAAACGATCTCCAAACACATGGATGTTTTGCTTCCTGATCATGTGATGTGTGACGTATGCGGATGAAGATCGGCTTCAGGGCTGAGATGTTTGTTCTCTCAGCGCGGGGGCTCGTTCCGATGCTCAAACAGTAAAAAAAATGCAAATGACGACTTTAGTCGTCATTGGCAGTGAACGGTTGGATCTAAAATGACGACTTTAGTCGTCAATGGCAGCGAATGAGTTAACAACCTTCTAACATATATAACATATTGTGGAGATGGGGTATTTGTATATAAAACTGCCAATAACATGTTTCGGACCTAAAGCAACTACTGGACCATTCAGTCCTCTAACAATGCGGGCTTCCGGTTCCGTTGGATGCGGAACCATTGAAGAAAGGGGAGGGGTGATTGTTTCATCACCGTGTTTGCGTTCATAACCTATTGTTTGCTGATTCACTATAGTTTCAAAGTAAAACCTACATTCTGCTCTAACAGTTAAGCCCAGTTCACATAGCAAGAAAGTTATGCCAATTCTACCCTTCTGACAATCCTAAAGAAGCGCCTGATTACTAATCAGAATTTCTTGGTACTGTATGTGTGGTGTGTTAAAGAGTACTCTGGTCTGCTTCAAAGGATGTTTGGAATGCCCAGATCTTAAATCAAGGATATTCAACATATTGGATTATCTTGGTCCGATTTTGAGGAAAAATTAACGTGCTGCCTGCTAAATGTGACGTGTAGCCTATCAAACAGAGAGGTGACTGAAGCACACTGCATGCTCCTCACCCACCATCTTTGTTTACGCAGAAGTCACGTTTGATCTCAAGAGGTTTTGCGAGATTTCTAATCTGACCGGTAAATGTTAGTGTGAAATCAGTTCATGTGTAATGTCTAGTTTTGCAGTGCTGATGCACACCACACACTGTAGGACCAAAACTATTATATTCATGATTTTTAATACTATAGTTGGTGTGTTTCTAATGTTTTTCAAGGATTTTTTAAAAATTTTGCAGCTTGAAACGGGCCTTAGTGTGTATGTATTCTGACTGTATTTGACTGAGTAACACAAACAGGGAGGCAGCAGTGATGACAAACATGAAATTGAAGATTGGCATTTCAAATTTATTTAACCCTCAGTGAGCTACACAGAAAACAGTGTCCTTAAACAAGACACTAAACTGTTTTACCTGCTCAGAATTGCTCTGCTTTGTGAGGAAATTGAAGAGTTGAACATAAACCTACTTCCTACCTAAGAACCTATTTTTGTAGATGTGAAGCTCATCACAGGGCCTAGACAAGGTTAAAAATATTCATTCATTCAAAATATTAATTAAAATCCAATATTTAATTAAAAGCGCAGATTTTATTTTCATTATAGATATAAAAGCCTTTTATCTAAGGCCTCTTGGTATTTAATTGTGGTATTAATCATAACACTTATGTTGCCATCAATGCTGGCGGATGCATCTTATTTGTCCTTGTAAACATTTAAAGTGTTTCTTGTTGAAAATATGCACCAAATGAATGAAACCATTACAACTAATATCTCCCATTGAGGTAACAGCAGGTTGGTATTTATGTAGACTATATTTTCTACAGAAAAAAAGGTGTCTGGTAGAAATGTTGACATAGACAGCTGCCCCTGTGAAATTTTCATTTTTAGACACTGTTTGTGACTTGAGGGCGTGAATGATGCCACCATTGGACAAAGAAAGGCCCAATAGCTCAAAAGCTGAGCATAAAGGAATAGAAAACAAGCAGCTTGCTGAGCAGACACTGGGAGAGACAGTAAACTAATTGAAGAGCCTTCAGAATGTGGTTGCAGAAATGTTTTAAATGGCCACAACCTGCTGTCTTCTGCTTGTAAAGCATCCTCAAAATGACAGCAGACAATAAAACGTCAAAAGGAAATGACAGGAATAATGACCTCACCTGCTTTCCATGCTTCACTGCAGCTAATCACAATCTAGGGTGATTACCATGGTCCTTCTACAGATGATCGAGCTGAGCACCTCCTTGGATTTAAAGCTGTTGTTTAACTGCATTAGACAAAAGTCACTCAAGGTGACCTTAGCATGAAAGCAAAACGGTATAAATGAGGTCACCAGTCAGGATTCTCCTCCCTCCTCTCAGGCTGTTACTTTACAGTTCTTATATTGTAGTTAGCTTTGACTCTAATACTCACTATAATATATCCAATAAATACACAAATCTATGAGATATCATGTAAATCTCCATTATTCTGCATGGTTAAAAAATGTACACCATTGGTGCAAGACCCAGATCACACAGGCTATGAATGAAACAGTATAGTAACTTGGTATCAGGATTATTGTAATGAAATTATCATGCTTATCAATATTATCACTGTATTCAAAAATGTGTTGTAAGACGTGTACAAACTACAGTTACTATAGTTACTGACAAGCTGTAAAACTGGGAAAAAGGTTCTTATTTTAAAGACCACAACATGCTAAGAAATAGCCACCTTTACATTAGCTGCAACCCAGCAAACAGATGTAGACGGCTTGTTGGAGTCACACCGATTAGCTTTCCTTTTGGTGTGCAGACTTAAAACTTAACAAAATTTTAAATACAGTCACGCTATATATTTACTCTTTGTGAGGGCTTAATAATCACCAGTACCCTTACCCTGGGAAGCTGCATCTGTTGGTAAATTAACTGCTTAATGTAGCCTTTTAAATACCACAATTACTAAATGCAAAACCACTTCAGTAATAACAAGCACAGGAATCCTTACTAACCCAGTAAAACTGGTACCCGTTTCCTCCCTGGTATAGGCACACAGCTGCAGTATCCCTACAAAGCTCCTTTTAAATTTGTATGATTGTTTAATAAATATTTGCTATTTGAAATATTTATTTTATTTAGCATTCTGTGTTTATGTAAGGTGTCACCGTCCTCTCGTCTTCAATCTAAATCAAATTAGAAAAAACACAAATGCTAATTAAACTGAAAATGATCTAATTAGTGATTTAGCTCTTGTTAGTGAAATGTGGCTCAGTGTACGAGCTGCTGCTGTAAATAAGTACAAGAGCAAATTGAATAACGCTCTGAATAACTGCCATCAGAAGCAGGACTGAGCTAGAATGCTCAGGTTTTATTTAAAGTGAGGACACAGAGGTTGCTTCAAGACCTGCACAAAGTTAGAGTGAGCAGCAGACTGACATTTCCTCTGAATGGCTTTTTAAAAGTAAACATCAGCACAATGGTGAGACAAGAGCTGTAAAGGTGAACAGGTGTTTTCTATGTTTGTAGGAATTTTTAATTGAAAGTTAGAACTCTTCTAATGAGCATAAACAAATCACAGTAATCTTATGCTAATTATTTTAAATTATTGCAGAAAAACAAGTGAGAACACTCATTACAGTTTAACTGACCACCTCATACTGATGACTCTCTATAAATCACTTTTTTAAAATCTTTTGTTTTCCTCTTGATGCGTCTTACCCGTGTGTGTACGGTTGTGTCTCTCCAGCTGACTGCGTTTGGCGAACGCCTTTGCACAGGAGGAACAGTTGAAGACTCTGGGTTTCTGGGAGCTGGGTGACGGACCTGGCTGGTGCACTCGCTCATGCTCCTGAGGGACAAAGACAAATGTATTCAACTGTTACTGAACCAAGGCTGTACCAAAATGTTTTATTACCCATGGTTCTATATAACAGAACACATAAAAAATGGCTTGCTTCATACACATCTCTTTTGTCATGACACAGTTAATTTGTAAAGTACATTATCATTATCTATCATATATATACATATATATATATATGTATATATATATATATAAATATATGTATATATATATATATATATATATATATATATATATATATATATATATATATATATATATATATATGTATATATATATATATATATATATATATATACACATATATAATACAGTAAAGGCCAAACAGTTGGACACACTTTCTCATTCATTGTGTTTTCTTTATTTTCATGACCATGTCCATTTCCAAAGGGCCCAACAAGTGCTAAACACCTCTGGGAACTCCTTCAAGACTGTTGGAAAACCATTTCAGGTGACTTCCTCTTGAAGCTCATCAAGAGAATGCTAAGAGTGTGCAAAGCAGTAATAAGAGCAAACGGTGGCTATTTTGAATAAAATAGAATATAATAATACATGTTATTTAACAGGGCCTTTCAGGACACCCAAGGACACTTTACAACAATGGGGAAAAATAATATAACAAGATAAACAGTACAGAAATATGTAAAAACACTAGGATGTTAAAATTTAAAACAATGTATTAAAACTATGAGGTAAAAGCCTGTGTGATGAGGTGGGTTTTGAGTTTTGATTTAAAAAGTGCAAAAGTGAGTGGTGCGTAGATCAGGGGGAAGAGAATTCCAGAGGTGGGGAGCAGAGCGGCTGAATGCTCTACTCCCCAAGGTGACAAGGCGAGCGGAGGGAGCCGAGAGTTGAGGAGCAGTAGAAGAACAAAGAGCACGGACAGGAGTGGTGATGTGAATGAGATCAGATATGTAGGATGGAGCCAGGTTATGGAGAGCTTTGAATGCGATGAGCAGAATTTTGAAGCTGATTCTCTGTTTAATGGGCAGCCAATGAAGTTGTTGCAGGATGGGGGTGATGTGTTGAGATGAGATGATGGAGTCCTAGTGATGACACGAGCTGCAGCATTCTGGAGAAGCTGCAGTTTATGGAGGGATTTGCTTGTGAGACCAAAGAGAAGTGAGTTGCAATAATCAATCCTGGATGTGACGAGGCTGTGGACAAGGATGGCAGTAGTGGAGGGAGTAAGTGATGGACGGAGGCGGGAGATGTTACGCAAGTGGAAATAAGCAGATAAAACATGTTTTCAGTTATTTCACCGTCTTTGGTTAAGTACATAACTCCACATGTGTTCATTCATAGCTTTGATGCCTTCAGTGAGAATCTACCAATGGTCATGAAAATAAAGAAAACACACTGAATGAGAAGGTGTGTCCAAACGTTTGGCCTGTACTGTGCTCAGCTATGCAAACCTGTTATAAGTTTTAATATATATTTCTGGCCCTAGCTAATCCTAGGTGTGCTTTTTTGTGCATAGGCTTTAAGAGACGCTTCCTTCGTAGACGATACCCATGCATGCCCTTCCTCTGCAGTGTGTGCCGTATGGTGTCATGGGAAGCGGTCACTCCGGTTTGGCTTTCTACTGCTTTAGCTAACTGCAGTGAACTTGCATGGTGATTTTCTTTAACCCTTCTCATCAGATGATTCTCCTGTCGAAACGTTTACTTCTGTGGACGGCTTGGACGGCTCTGTAAGATGGCTGCACTTCCATCTTTCTTAACATTTTGGATCACTTTTGCTACAGTATTTTGACTGATATTGCTGATCGTCTTGTAGACCTCATTTTTTGTATAAAGAAATTATTTCCTTTCTTAAATTTTGTGACATTTCTCTTCTATGTGGAGCCATTGCTTACTGCGTGAAATGGGAAGGGCTTTTCTTTGTTAACTAATGCCCCGTTTATAGTCACCTGTCTGCTGGACACCTCTCAAACAAATCATTAGACTCACTTGTGGTAGAATGCCTGTTAATTTGAATTTTGTAGTCTAAGTGTGTTTTTTCTCCTAAGACTATAATTGGGGTGTACTCATTTTTGTAACATGTGCTTGAATGGATTTGTTAGGAAAATCCTTTTTGTGTGTGTGAAACTGAACAAACCTTGTTTGTAATCAATGGCCCACATTTCTGGAAGTATTTTGGTTTGAGGGTTTTCCATCTTGCTATTCTCATCATAAATGCTAATTATATCCCAAGGGAATACAGTGTTATTCAGAACGTCCTTCGCAGTCATTTCTACTTTGTTCTTTAGTGGTAAACTAATTAGGTTTAACTAGTGTTTTCATTTTTCTTGTTTCCAACCTAGAACAAAACCTCTGTTCTTTGTTTTTCTTCTTGTTATTTTTTACCTACATCGATCAGAGGAGGAGGAGATGGTGTCAACATGCACCACACTTTTATCTTTTCTCATGAAACAAGAGATCACTGAGCATTACACAAACACACCGCTTAAGCAAAGCACCAAATCTTAGAATCTTGTCTTGGTTTTTCTTCTTTTTGAGTGACGCAAGTCAACTTCAAGTTAGTTGAACTCTTTAAACTCTTACGCTCTAAAACAGTGATAATTAAAAGGTTTGGTCAATAGTCCATTTATATGAGTTGTGTGTCATGTCCTGAGTTTTAGCGCCCCCCCCCCCCCCCCCCAAGATGCTTTACAACACAATTAAACATTCACTAAACACCTAGCTGAAGCACTTCCTGTAAGCATGTCATGATATTCCTGTTGGAATAACCAAGTCATGCAGAACGGATAACAGCGTAAAGATTAGAGTGATAGAGTGATCTACAATAATAACGTTTCAGAAACTTTCCACGGCAACTTACTTTTAAAAATCTGAAACATTGCTTTAAGAAGTTGCACAACTTCAAAGCAAAAATGAAGTGTTTGCAGAGGATCACTCAGGTTTGTACTTTCTCCAAAATAGGGATGTTTTGAAAAGTGGTAGTCTACTTCAAGTGGAATGTGTCAGGAAATGATTACGCTGAACTTGATCTATTCTTGAGAGGCAATAGGCAGCCATTTATATGTTGCCTGGGGGATGAATCACTCATCTTTCCATCAGTGGACAATCGCCCTTCCCTTGTGAGCCATTGCTGCCCCCATCAAAACAAATCAATGAAACTAATATATCTAAATTCCACAGTTGGGAATGTATTTGTGAAAATCAAATTAAGATTAAGACAATTAAGACTCTAACGAAGACAGTGATGAAATGTTAGTTTTTTGTGTGCTCACACTTATTAAAACTTGTTTCTCACTCGAATGTTTCAGCCTTCCTGCTGTTTTTTTAACAAACAAATAAAAAAATACTTGTGAAAACCACCGGGGATGAGGCGTGGAAATGACAAATGAAGTAGGAGAATGTTATATGTAATATATATTTTATAGTAACTCAGTAATTCATAGTAATCCAGGTGGGATGGAGGTGTGGTACTGAGTTATAAGGGTTTTTACTACCAGGTGATGTAATCTAACTTGAATAAAATGTATAATATTACATATTTGTACTAATGAATTATTAGTAATGGCAAATAAAGGGGAAGTGAGAGTATACGTTATGTACCTTATTATTATATTTCCATAACTTCTTTTTCAGAAATTAGATTTTTTTTGTTTTGTTTAGAATTTAAAGAGCAAGTCACCCCCAAATCAACTTTTTTTTCTGATAAACTATATAAATGTGTGTCTAATCGTGCTGCAGACATGTGTAGTTAATCATTTTGTACTTTAGTGCATTTTAGTTAAAATTGTAATTTTCTGCCTAAAACTGTCAGTGTTGTGCCGTTGTCAGGTAAAAACTCTGCACTGCATTAGAATTTAAATCTGCCACCACTATTGGCTAAGAGGTATGCTATGATGTAAACTGGTCCTTATGATGTCACAATTAGAGCCCTGCATGGGCCTAAAATCTGAGCCCGTGTCCGGCCCGGCCCGAGGGGGTGGAGCCCCAGCCCGACCCGGTCCGAAAAGGTTTTCAGGATTCTCTGGCCCGACCCAAGCCCGAGTCAGACTTTTTTTAACCAACTAAATGAAAACAAAGTGGTCAATCCTGACCAATGTGTTAAAAGCCGTGCCGAATCCAATCAATTTGTTTTTCCCCTCATTTACCATCACAGAGATGACGGCGCAGGCTCTGGTGGTAATCAAGTTAAATTTGATCTCTTTCCAACAATTTTCACAAGAAAACAGAACAGTTAAAAGCAGGGCTTGTGTTGTGTTGACCGGATAGTTCCTGTTTTTGACCGTTTATTTTGACGGAGAAAGAATAGAAAGAATTACCCCGACGCATGCAGACGAACTGACATTTTATTCTACGCACATCGCAGATGTAGCTAAATCACCCAAGAAAAGATTCCCATCTGAACATCTGAGCTGGACACTGCTCAGCGCAGCTCGCTGCCAGCGCATATGTGCACAGCGAGCTGAAGATGTGGAGAGGGGCTTGAAGCGCGTTGCAGAACCAGAGCGCATGCGGGAAGGTTCCTCCCACTGAATCGAGTGTTTTCCAAACCCTGTCTCTCAGAGAGACATGTCACTTAGATAATGTTCCCTGATTATGAAACTTTGGCTGGATAGTGCTTGTTCCTGTCTCGAATGAGGCAACGCATCCAGGAGCCGTCTGAGGAGAAGCCCAGAATCTCACATCTTCAGCTCAGAAAGCGCCTATGATTACGCACAAGCGTGACCCGTCAACCCGGTCTCACAGTAAGACCGGGTTGGAATTGTTCAGGTTTACTCAGACAATCTTTACATAGAATTGACTTACAGATATAAAATTAATTCAGTAAAATATAAAGCATTTTATTTAAATATCCATTCAACAAGCACAGAGAGCCGCATCAGATTCAGATGAGCGGGAAGATTCCTTTGACTGAATTCAGTCGGAGGAATCTTCCCGCATGTGCTCTGGCTCTGCGACGCGCTCCAAGCCCCTCTCCACATCTTCAGCTCGCTGTGGACCTTATGTACATGGCACGCTGACAGCGAGCTGCGCTGGGCAGTGTCCAGCTCAGATGTTCAGATGGGAATCTTTTCTTGAGCGATTTAGTTACATCTGCGATGTGCGTAGAATAAAATGTCAGTTCGTCTGCATGCGTCGGGGTAATTCTTTCTATTCTTTCTCCGTCAAAATAAACGGCCAAATACGGGAACGATCCAGTCAACACAAGCCCTGCTTTTGACTGTTCTGTTTTCTTGTGAAAATAGATCAAATTAAACTTGATTAACACCAGAGCCAGGCACACTGCGCCGTTATCTCCGTCGCTGTAAATGAAGGAAAAACAAAATGATCGGATCCTTTTCAGACCTTCCCCACCTACAAAGTTTAATTACAACAATCAAACGTGACAGAGCCTGGATTTGTATTCTGAACAGTCTAAACATGTTTTAAAAAGAAACGTATGACAAAAGTGGCACCTGCTCAGTAAAACCACCAACAGGGTGAAAAATATCAAAATACTGTAGGCAGAGACGGGCTACAACTTCTGGATCCACTTTATATAAATCGTTTTATTGATTATCTTTTTATGACAGATAACTTTGACGTACACGAGCGACCGGTACTGGCTGCTGTCACCTGTTGTGAGCAGCGCTCTGGTGTGTGAGGGTAGGCCCCGCCCACAACGCCGCGGCTGCTGTGGCTCCCAGTGTTTTCTTTACTGTGGGAAATGGGTAATAATGGCTCTTTGATGGGAACAGGTTGCCGACCCCTGGTTTAAGTGTTTCAATTTTTTCTATGAATTCGATTAAAAATAAAGGCGCCCGGCCCGGCCCGTGTCCAAGGTAATCACACAGTCGTTGGCCCGAAGCCCGGTCCGAGGGCCGTCGGGCTTCAGTGCAAGGCTCTAGTCACAATGCCATTGTGAGCCTGTGTGTGTGTGTGTGTGTGTGTGTGTGTGTGTGTGTGTGTGTATTTGTTAGCGGCTCCGCCCTCTCGGTCTGCTAGGCAACAGCATGTGTTGCATTTTTCAAACATGAAGAGGGAGTGAAGGAAGTTTATTGAAGGGGGATACTTGCTCTTTAAACATTTACATTTTTGCTCAAAACCAACCAACCAATCTTAGCAAAAACAATATGTGACATGGACAAGATATTAAAGGATCTATGAGAATGTATTTAATTTGGCTTGATAATGTTTTTTTAAAAGCTAAAATGTTTTGAGCAAGAAACTAGATCTGTCGGCAAACTTCTTCCATTGCCTCTATAGATTTAGGATGTTTGTGTGTGTGAAATGGCTCATCACAGAGCACCAGTAAGACACACACCCTTGATGTTAATGGCTGTTAATAGTCTGAAGCCCTCTACCACCGTCAGCCAGGCAGAAAATAACTACAAAGTAAAACCGCCATTCATTTGTCAATGTTACCAAGTTAAACAGCCATTGATTTTGGAGCTCTGGCTTTGTACCTCCAAATTATTATCCACGGTCTAACAAAGTGAAAAATAACTGTGCTACTAATTTATCCTTCTCACAGATCCCAAGCTGTATCCAGGCTTTAGAGAGAAGCTAATGAATAGCCAGGGGACCTGCAGAGAAAAGAGCGCAGTCACTCTTACTGTGACATCCGCCTTTTCCCAAAGTCCTTCGTTACACAGAGCAAAAAGTACAGCTCAGTATAGTGGCGCACATTTACAAAAGTCTAAATCCTGTGACACAGTGCCTTTCTGTAGAGAAAGGACACACAGGAGAAGAAAAAAATCTGGAGTTTCAAACCATGTCCTCCTCATTTCAGGCTTGAGTATTTGCTCCTCATGAAGAGGGTTTGCTGGAACAGAGGAGAACACACACTCTTCACCACAATTTGGATGCAGAGCACAGCCTGTTTCTGTGTTTTCTCAACAGCAGAGACCGAATCTGTCTGAGGTGCTGGTTAAGGGCACACCCTTTGTAGCAAATACTGAGAAAAGATTTAGTTCAAGGAATTTCCTTCTTACATATTCAGAAAACCCCTCTATGAATAAATATTCCCTATGTTTCCTATTTGTTCCCTTGATTTTGAATTTACAGGAAAAAAATAAAGCTCATCATTTAATTAAATACATCATTTCTGTCTAAATGGCATGCCAGATGGTCTGGAGGTTTGAGAGGGTTGGAAAAACAAAGTGAAAATGATCCGTGCCTGAAGAACAGAAAAACACTCTCCACCGGGCAGAAAATGCTTTAAAATGTAAGGAATGAACCACCATTCCACAGGATTATGACAGATTAAAATATGCACATATAACCTCTATGAATAGTTGCAATACCTGCAGAACTGTACCCCCCCCCCCCCCCCCCCCCAAGTATGTTTGTTTTACACTGATGCTCTGTATCTCACTTTACACCTGTATAGTGACAATAAAGGCATTCTACTCTATTCTAATAAATTAAAACCACTCTGAACTCATATTTTAAAGCATCGTTTGTAACAGCGCTCTGCGTTCTGACCTTGAGGTGGGTGGCGCGTTTGAAGGCCTTATTGCAGATTCTGCAGACATGACAGCGGTCCTTGCCGTGAGCTTGCTTGCAGTGGCGTCTCAGTGAATTAGGATTGTCAAACACCTGGATGCAGTAGAAACATTGGTTCTGGCTGTCCATCACCGACTGGGGGTCTTTCTCACCTTTACTGCCGTCGCCTGAGTTCTGGATTTCAGACCAGCATATAGTTCAGGTTTATCCTCATTTGGATAAATGTGGTGTCAACATTGTTAAAGACAAACACACTCACATTATATCCATTAGCAGATGCACTGTTTGTAGACTGGGGTTGGTGGCTGACCAGTATGACCTGTTGGCCTGGGGTGACTGGTTGCCCCGGGATATCAGACTCATTCAGAACAGATGAAAATGTCTGGCCCTGAAAATTAAAAGGCAGTACCGTTACACTTATTATAGGCTAAACTGATTTCTGCTGATCTAAATGAGTGGCTGTGTCTGTTTTAGTTACCTGTGCACTGAGGTTTAGAGTGACACCATCCAGCATGCCCTGAGCATCAGAAAGGGTCAGCGTAACGCTGCCATCGCTAGCCACGGCTCCTGGTGACATGACCAGGCTCTTGGGTGCAGCCGAATGAGACAAAGTGGTGCTGGGAGGCAGACTGGTGACTGACGGGAAGCAGACAGAAACCATATTTAATAAGTCGCTGTTAAAGAAGAATGAACAAATATAGACAAATGTTTACAGAGTCTATAATAAACTACACGAAAGTTCCAGTGTTTGAATAAAAGCAACTCATTTAAATCCATATTACCCCTGTCCTGGAACGTCTTCACTGGCTCCCTGTCATTTTCTGAGTATAGTTTAAGCTATTGACTTTTGTCTTTAAAGCACTCAATGACCTGGCTCCTCTCTGTCTCTCTGACCTGCTCACTCCCTGCTGCTTTGCACTCCTCGGATGCGTTACAAATCACGAGGTGAACAAGCATTTGTGCATGCTGCCCCAAAGCTGTGGAACTCTACCAATTGTAGTTCAACAGGCTCCATCACTGGCGGTTTTTAAATCTCGTTTAAAGACTCACTTCTACGACTTGGCTTTTAGACAGTGACTCGTTTTATTGTTTATTGTATTACTGTTTTAATGTGTTCTTAGTGTTCCTAATGTTTTATTTGCTTTTATTGATCAGTATTTTTATTAGGGCTGTCACGGTAACCGCAAAAATGAAATATCGCAATATGAAGAAACCCACCGTGCTGCATCATGGGCCACAGCGATTACTGAACTTGGTTCAACTCAATGATGCATGTTGAGAAGGATGGCTGCACTGGTATCAAAACAAAACGTTACTTCGCTCCTTTGGGAGCACTTTGGTTTTCAGTACGTCAGCTGCTGCGCAGCCAGAGTCCTTGGCCGAGACAGAGCTGCCACCAGCGGCAAAGAAATAATAATAAACGCTCGGAGACCTGCTGAAGTCCCGGACAAGCACTGCTTCTGCAACCATCCCGAAGAGAGTTTGAGCTGAGCTGGAGCTCACTCGCTACCTGCAGGAGGAATGCATCCACCCTAAAGAAACCCCCCTGACATGGTGGAGCAACAACCGGGAGAGATTCCCTTTGCTCGCCAGTCGCACGCAAGTACGTGTGTGTTAGTGCAACGAGCGCACCATCCAAGAGGGTTTTCAGTGTTGCTGGAAATGTTGCCACCCCTCTCAGATCCTCTCTCAAACCGTATATGGTTAACATGCTGGTTTTCCTTGTGGGTAACAAGGACGTGACCGAGCTATAAATCACCGTCATTCGTGTGTGTGAAAGTGAAAGTGAAATGATAGTGCCCCGCGCCCGGTACATGTAATTTTTTATGCTTGATTTTAAACAACTAAACAAAATGGGGACTTGTTTCTTATATGTTAGATGCTGCAGCCAAATTTGCGTTTAAAAGTTTAACCTTCTCCTGAATTTTGTTGTTTTTAAGTTCAGTCGGACTCCGACTGTCGGACAAACAAACGTTACTGCGATCTGTGTTGTTACTGCCCATTGATCTGCATTCAGTAACCTACAACCTCACATCCTGGCTGGCAAGCTCACTTCTCTTTTTCACCTGGATGATCAGATAATCCTATGGATCCTGGATTTCTTAACTAACAGATCACAAAGAGTTCTGGTTAACAACACTCTCTCGGACCTTCTTTACACCTCTACTGGCACCCCACAAGGCTGCGTGTTGTCTCCTCTACTCTTCATTCTCTACACAGATGACTGTAGATCGATCCAGCCTGACAGTTACATGGTAAAATATGCTGATGACACTGTGCTCCTGTCTCTTCTGTCAGGCCCTACTGTTTACCACGGGCAGGTCCTGCAGAAGTTTGTGGATTGGTGTGACACTGCATGCCTGGAGCTGAATGTGACCAAAACCAAGGAGATGGTGGTGTCCTTCTCAAACAAACAGAGAGCGCTGGTTACCGCTGCCTCCACTATCATTCATGGACAGCCAGTGGAGCTGGTTGAAGAGTATAAATATCTAGGGACCACCATTGATCACCTCCTGAAATTTGCTTCCAACACCGAGGACATCCTCAGAAAGTGCCAGCAACGACTCTACCTCCTGAGGAAGTTGAATTCATTTGGAGTCAGGAAGGACATTTTACTGACTTTCTATTATTCTTTTATAGAGAGTGTTATCACATTTTCCATCCCCTGTTGGTTTTATTCTGTCAGCCTGCAGTATAGAAGCCGTCTACAAAGCACCGTCAAGGTGTGCTCTCGGATCATTGGACTACCACTGCGAAGCTTAACTTCTCAATGTGATCAGCATACAGGAAGTTTAGCACAGAAAATCATTAAAGACCCATCACACCCTCTTCATACTGTTTTCGAGTGGCTGCCCTCCAAACGCCGACTTCGATGCCCATGCTGTAAAACACAGAGGAGGAGAAGTTCCTTTGTTCCCAGAGCTGTGCTTCTTCTTAATTCTCAGTGCAGATAGGGGGCGTGTGCATTACTTGTATGTGTGCGTGCATATAGTTACATGTGTGTGTGTGTGTGTGTGTGTGTGTGTGTGTGTGTGTGTGTGTGTGTGTGTGTGTGTGTGAGTGAGCCAAAGTTTTAATCATTGTTGGTCATTCACATGTGAGTTTATGATATGATTGTGTATATAGGTTTTTATGGGTTTTACAAATGTGTAATTTGGATGTGTTTTTAGAATTTAGAGATTTTAGTGCCGGCTGCTTCACAATGCTGTCTCGAATTGCCCCTCGGGGACTAATAAAGTTGTCTTGAGTCTTGAGTCTTGAGTAAAGTGTTATAAAAGAAGGCACAGAAATTTTTAACCTTTTTTAAATGTGTAAACATTATGTTTAGATAGTACTGCAATAAAAAAAAAAGTGCTGCAATAATATCGCAATATTAAGCCACCCTGAATCACCGCAGGGGGAATTCCTCAACCGTGACAGCCCTAATTTTTATCCTCTGTTTTTTGTTGCTTTGATTAGTTGTGATATGGTCCAGCCTGTGCAGCACTTTGGAAAGCTCCCAGATGTGCTATATAAATAAATGATGGTGAATAAAATACAGGTGGAATTGTTGAAAATAAGAATTTAACAGCTTTGTAATTATCCTGTGCTGATCTGGACTCAGGAAATATGTCAGAAAAAGAACATTGAGGATAAAGACTACTGTTGTTACCGTACCTTGTTCTATTATTAGAGTAAAATGCCCTGATTAAAACTAACATGTTGGGGTTAGGGTTATTTATATCTTTTGGAAATGAAGACGGAAATGTTGAGAGAAAAATATTTTTATCTAGATTTTTTGGAAAATTTGAGACAAAAATGAAATGTTTGGAAAGACTATCATGGGCTTCTGGTATTTTTATTTTCTTTTTTTTTTTTTTTTTTTTTTTTTTTTTACATGTCCTGTCTGGCTGTGAAGCAAGCAGAATTGATGTCTGAATGCTGGTGACAAGCCTTACAGATTTATTCGCAGGTGGAGCATCAAAGCGTTTGCTTTTAATGTCACGCCTGATACTTAAAACTTTATTGTTATTGTTGTTGAATGCTTTGTAATTCCGACCAGACACGGAGACAGAGGTGAAAGAGAAAGGAAAAGAAAAGGTGGGGAGAGGGGGGGGGGGGGGGGGGGGGAGTCCACAAAAATAAACAAAAATGAACAAGAGTCTGCTTCTAGACCTGCAGAAAAAAAAGACAAAAAAAAAAAAAAAACAAAGGGACACAAAAAAAGGGACACAACAACAATACAACAAGATCTACCTATCACTGCGTCAACTTGATGAAAAGAAAAAATGTATATATATAATCAATATTGCTTAACTGAAGAATCACGATAATAAATCACAACGCATTAAGTGCCCACCATAGTCTTAAGACCTGTGTTTAACGTGCCCAAGCCCATACTTTTGAGAGCACCATGTGAGCACCTGTGTGTGTACACGCGCTTGTTTATTTAAGGTTTTTCTATAGGAGCGCCCAACAGAGAGTGTGAGGGACCACAGATCCGCCCCCCAAAGATGCGCAGGAGACGGGGGGAGCTCCAAGTCCCAGAGATCCAGGCGCTGCCCCAGAACGCAGGAACCCCAAGGAGACTGCAACCAGGAAGGCCCCCGCCCCCCTCGAGAGGCACAGAGGATCGCCCCGGGGGGCCACAACCAGCAGCCGGCAGAGTCCCTGGAGATATCAGCGGCAAGCCCACAGGCCCGCCCGCAGCCTCCCACCCCCTAGCCGGCCGAGCCCGGGACCCAGCGACCCGGGACCCAGGGGCGACCACCCCCGCCGGGGACCCAGCAGAGCCCAGGGACCCAGACCCCACCAGGCAGCCACCGGGATCTAACAGGCAGATGCCAAAATCTTAAACCCCCAGACCCGGTTGCCACGAACACTCAGGCAGACCAAGGCACAAGCCCCCACACCAGGTGTGGCAGGGGGAGGGAGGACAGAGATCTATATCATCAAGAGAAGTTCCAGGAGAGGGGAGGACCCAAAGGCCCCACCAGACATATACAGTCATACACAAACACAGTCACACGCTCCCTCCCTCATTCTCACACATGCACATACAACCCAAGACTTACAAAAATGCACGCCGGACACCCACTCATGCTCCCCATACACACCCTATTCACTCTGGTCCCGGTACTGCTGCACATTGGGTACAACCATCACCGGTAACCAGAGTTTGACCCTTTCTGCTGGGGTGCTGATGAGCAGGCTCCCCCGCCCAACGCTGAGCACAGCAACCCACCACCCCAGACCCCAACCAGACGGCCAGATCTCCCTCCTAGCTTCCAGCCCCAGGAAGCCTAGCAACAACAGAGGTGGCTAAGACCCCTAGTCTCCCTCCGCCTGCTCCAATATAGTGTTGTGTGATCATGAGGTGTATTCCATGGCTGTGGTGAGTGGGCAGTGCGGGCATCATCCAGCATATGCCAGCTGATGCCACTGCACCACCCCACTTACACCCTCAGCCATCAGTGTCTAAGTGCGGTTTAAAATTGGAAGTGGGCACCGGCACTCGGGAGGAGGCTGAAATATCCCCCTGCCAAATGCCGTTGAATGTGCTCACTCCCAAGGCCCTAAGTGTGTGTTTGTGTGGAATGTCGTCAGTGGAAGTGTATAAGGTGCAAATAAAATTGGGGGGCAGGTTTCCACAGGAA